GAAGAACTGCAAAGAGGAAGCAGAAATTCATCTGCGTTCTCATCGCAGCTGTTCAGAGCAGGCAGAACTACGGAACTGTTACCCACAATGCTTCAGCCCTGAGGTCAATGGAGTCTAAATGTTGTCCTCAGAGTGATTTTTTTTTTCTTTTCCCCTTCTTCCTTGTATGCTGCTGCCACTTTGCCTCTGCAGAGGGGCAGCAGTTTCTCAAAATGGATTGATCAGCTTTTTTATAGCAGGCAGCTTCAAAAGCATAAACGCTTTTTTTCGCTTGCTGCATAGGTGGAGGAGAGGGAATTAGTTATTAAGGACACAGGGTGCTCCTATCAAGAGAGTCAAAAAGACTCTTCTTTCCCCATGATCCTTTTTAGCCTGAGCTTTGGTCTCATGGTTTCTGAAATCATGAGAATTTCACTCAGATTGGTTGCATTGTATTTTCCTCCCTGAGGATCTGTTTAGTTGATAGAGAGTGACAAACAATGGGACAATCTAGAGTTAGCTGTCTCTGAGTTTAGCTTCCCCTACCGCCACTCCCCAAAATCTATCTGGAAAGAAGCTAGCATCAATTATTAAATTAAAGCCATGGTCCATTTGCTGCATCTCTTGTAAGGTGGAGCAGCAAGGCTCCACCCTGCAACGTGAAAAGCAAGAACTTTAAGAACCACTGGACTCCCAGTCACCCATCTCTGCTCATGGCAGGTGCAGTGTTTGCATCCAAGGGCTACAGCTGCTGCCAACCTGCGGTGCCCTCTGTATTCACAGTTGGCGGTGGTGGTCGCTTCTGCTTGTTGATGTGAATAGAGAATGAGTCATTTTCTTTCTTGGAAAGCCCAGCAGCAGTGTTGCATGGGGAGGTTTCTGGGTACAATGGGAGCAGCGCTGAGCTGGACTGTTTTTTGTTTAATGAATTTGTACAAGGAGATGGAAAAAATGCAATTAGAATACACTGTGGGGCAGAAAATGCGTAGTGCTTTCTGAGTATTGGGGGCTTGGCAGTCCCCTCTCCAGGTGATAGGGCAGCTGCAGGAGGGCACGTTGAAGGAAGGAGGGGCAGGCACAGTGACATGGATGGTGCTTGGGTCACACAGCCCGGCAGGAATGTTTGTTGAAGTGAGCGTGACTGTGAGTCACTGGGCTGGTGCACAAACTTCCCTGTTGGCTGGGCTCCCTTAGCTCTCTTCCTGTGTGTTTTAGATGAAGACTGGCCCTTTTGCTGAGCACTCCAACCAGCTGTGGAACATCAGCGCTGTACCTTCCTGGTCCAAAGTGAACCAGGGTCTCATCCGCATGTACAAGGCAGAGGTGAGTGAAGGGGAAGGAAAGAGGAGTGTGGGCTCACCGAAGCCAGTATTGCAAGTCGTGGGAACCTTTCCAATGAGCTCTTCACTTCTTCTGCTAGTTCATCACTTCCTACGCAGCTGGGTGCACGTCATTTGAGAGCTTCTCCACAGTCAGCAATCATCCACTGAACCCTTGTCCCAAGAGGCTGTGGCTTATGTACCGCACCCCTCTCCTGTACTGTTTCCCCCTAGTACCCCCTAGCGGGAGAGTCTGGATCTAGCATCCATGGCAAGCTCCTCCCAAACAGACACCGAAACACGTCTCCCTTCTGAGGGGCTGGGCCTGGATTACCTGTGATCTAACCCCAAAGCTAACACTCCTCCCTCATTCTTTAGATGATTCTTGTCTTTGTTGTTCGTTCTCTAATTTTTGCTCTCATGCTAATTATAGGTCCCCAGATTAAGAGTTGTGGCTTGCAGTACTGAATTGTCCCTACAGAACTCGATTATTTGCCCCCCACCTTCCCCATGTGGAGACTCATGAACCAGGCTTGCAGCTTGCCCACATAGTCCGAAACCAAATCAGTTAAATCATCACAGTGTTGGTGTGTAGACCAAGGGTGTTAAATATCGAGTAACTTACTAGTAGAGTAGTCGATGGAAATTCCATCAACTACCTGACTAGTCGATAGGCACTTCCGCTTTCCTCCTTCGAAATGCACAAGAGCCCCGCAGACTCCAGGCTGCTCGCTGGTGTGCCAGCTTTGAAATAGACGACGAGTTCCACAGGGCAATTCCCCAGGACCCAGGGTCAGCTGACCCCAGGCTCCATGTAGCGTTAGTATGGGCTCTGTGCGGCACTGCTGCTTTGAAGGTATGGGCTCTGTGCGGCACTGCCGCTTTGAAGTAACCCCTCTTCCAACCCCCTTTGCTGCCTCTGTCTGATAGCTGCAGCAATGGGGGGAGGGGGGAGAATTGACTAGTCGACTCGACTGTCCGATAAGCGTGATAGCTGCAGCAATGGGGGGAGGGAGGAGAATTGACTAGTTGACTCGACTGTCTGATAAGCATTTGCTTATGGGATAGCCGACTAGTCCTTAACATCCTTAGTGTAGACAAGCCGCTGCTGCAGCCAGCCTTCCCCTGACCCCTCCGCTGTGTGGTCAGCCCATGCAACATGCTCTGTTAACCTTGACCTGGGGGACTGGGCAGCTGTGGCTGTAATGCATCTCTCCTCCCCACAAGCCATGTGCACACCTTCTTCCTGCCCCTGAGGAAGCTGGACAGGAACTTCCACCCACATAGTGCCTCTGGGAGAAGGACGGAAGGAGCAGGGAGCTGTAGGCCAGAGGAAATGTTCTCCTGGGGAAGCCATGCCAGTGTGCTAGTCGTGGGCCTGTGCAGGGGTGCCAGGAGCTAGTGCCTTTCCCTTCCTGTGTGGCTCTAAGTAGTGTAGCTGCCTGGCACTGGAAGCACCATCTTCCCCATGAGTAGGGCTTGAAGGGGTTAATATCCTGCTCAGTGCTCTCCTGTTCAAGGCAGGCTCTGCTCCTGTCACCAGGAGAAAAGACAGTCCTGACTAAGCAGCAGCACTCCGTGAGTGCATGAAAGGGTTAACTGTGCCTCGCCTCTCCTCCACTCTCTCCCTTCCCTTCTCCCCTCCCCCTTCCCTTCCTCTGAGCTTCACATCCTGTGTTTAGGTTCCAGCCCACATACCTCTCTAATCTGCGAGGCGTCACTCCCAGGGACCAGGCTGGCTCCTTCCGGCAGCAGCTCAGCTTTCCTCTGAAGTGCTGGGATCGCCAGGCAGTGGGGTAATGCCCCCCACGGCTCCCCTGCTTCTCTGGCTCCTTCAGCTCAGCGGCTTTGTGCTGCCTCCTGTGTCTAAACCGGAGCTGCAGCAAGAGCCAATACCTCTCTGGGCTGGGCCTCTGCCCGGTAAGCCAGATTCTCTGGAGTAACCCGTCCAAGCCTGTGGTTACCTTAGCACAGGATTTGGCTCCGCGGGGGCTATTAAAGCACACTGGGGTTCTCCAGCCTACCAAGGTGTGAGTGACTTGCTGGCAGCTTACCCCTTACCTTGCCCTTGTCTTTGGGCTGTTTTCCTATAATAAACATGCAAATTGCTATTCCAGAACTGCTAATCCAGGCTGATGCTCTGAGTTCCGGACTCTGGAAGGCCTTGGCCAATCCTGTCTTTGTGAAGCTCTTTTTCAGACTGGGAAGTGGTCTTAGTGCCTGGCCATTTCAATGGGCACATGCTAAATGCATCCCAATCCCTGCTGTCCTTCTAAGCTGTCCCCAAGACCCCAATGTTAATACTAAATCTAGCATCTGTGTAGTGCCCACCTACCTACCTAGAGTTACTGATGGCAATGTAACGTAGTCACAGGCACCTGGATGCTATGCTAGTGGGTGCTCTTGAAATACCTAGAGAGACGCACCCATCTTTGTAGAAAAATGCAGAAGCTTTTAAACTGTGATGATACAGTAGTTTAGGACCGGAAGTGAAAAAATGCAGACTACAGTTGAAAGTTGCAGGACATATTTTGGCAGGATGACGCTCTTAACAAGGACAGTAGGGTCCTTGTTAAAAAGTGCGGTTGGCTCTCTGGTACCACAAGTGGTCAGGCTCTAGTTATCACCAAAAGCTTAAGCTTCTCGCACCATACAGCACTCTCCTAATGCCATGATGAGCCCTTAGCTCGGTGTGGATACAGCACAGTTCCCTGCCAGCTACTTTTGGAAGTCTCCCATTCAACTACTGACCCGGTTCGTGTGCCTTTTGTGGAATCAGACAGGAGCATAGCAGATGTTGGGCATTGCTTTTGGCCCCAATTGCAGATGTGGGGGGATTTTAAAAAATATTTATTTAGTATGGCTGAGCAAACTTCAGCCAAGAAGTTCCAAAAGTGATGAGTTTTTATTTTGGTGACTAACTTGAGGCACCTTGAGACAAAGGTTGGCTTCCACCCTTTGAAAATCAACTCCCCTGAAGGTATCTCAAGTTGGAGACCTAAAATCCCTCTTGAAAATGTTGGCCCTTAGCTACTGGCCCCTGAAGCAAGTTCGTATTTCCCGTTCTCAGCAGCACTGTGTTTGCCAGCCCTCCCTTCTGCCATAGGTAAACGGAACTCCTAATTGCTGGCTTGAATCTTGGTTCCTCCCCCAGGCAGGCAGCTGCTGTTGACAGAGCTGGGGGCGATTTGCATTCATGTTCTCACTGACTTGTGCATGCGGGAGCTCCCTCTCCCCCTCTCTCTCTCAGGCTGGCTAAGATCTGAGCAAGGCCACTGTCTTTTTCTTCCCCCATGGCTTCTTGCTGTTGATTAGATTACATTAACTTAATCTTCAGTATGGAGGCACCAAGCCAGCAGTGTTCCAGCTATTTAACGGCTTCTCAGGTATATGTCTGCTGTGATTGATGGTGAGAAGCATCCAATGTCATCCAGACACAGCAGTGCTGCCACATCATCCTAAGAGGCAAGTGGAGCCAGCCGGAAGGAAGGGGAAAGGGTCATTCTTTACCAATTGTCCTAAAGAAGACTGAAGTCCATCCACTCAGAACTACTGATGCCACATAAACAGTGTGGGGCAACTGTCAAGTTCTAAGGTCCGGCTCATTTAGAAGGCAATGGTTGCTTCTGTCTTCGCACTAGTCTCTCAACTGACTCTTGGATGCAGCAAACCGCAAATAGGAATGATTCCCTTGCGATTGGGATGTGTTCTCTGGATCCAAGGCTTGTGGGTGCTCAGTGGATTGCAAACAAAACATCTTCTGCCTTATTATTGTTTTTAATGGAGGAAGTTTTTGGCCGGAAGTGAGTGGGACTTTCCTTGCTCTCTTCTTCAAAGGACAGAGAACGGAGCATGGCGAAAGCAGCAGCTGTGGTGTGTTCTCCTGAGTCTATTTTGAATTTCCTGTCCTTTTTTTTTCCCCCTTCAGCTGCAGTCAAATGGGGAATACTTTCCCTTGTGACCAGTCTAGTCACAATCCCATCTGGGAAGGCTGCAGGAAGAAACCCTAACCCTGCTTGTGCTGGGAGGAGGAGAGGTCTCTTTGCTGAACGCTCGGCCTCTCTTTCTGGCAGGATGACTGGAGAAGTCCCTGCCTCTTGTGGAGTTCCACAGTTTACCTTGCACATATTTGAGGCCCAATGTGCTAGGTCAGAAGTAGATACCCACCCTTTGCTTTAGTGGTGTAATCTATTCTGCAGGAACTCAAACCAGCCAAGATCTACAACAGCACATCTCCTGTAGAACCCTGGTGGTAGAGGGGATGCTGGAAGCCACCTCAGCTCCACCCACCAGGGTCTTAAGGCTTCAGTTTGTCCCCTTCTTCCCCTAGGTCAGCTTTGCCTATATGGTCTCCCTGCTTTCCAGTTCTTTCCCTGAAGCCTCCTCTCAGCATTTGTTGTGGCTCAGCTTTTCACAAGGTGGCTGGTGGTTTCTGACTGCCCTGTGTACTGAAGACACCTTGTTGGTGATCTGATGCTACCCCTGGACTTATTCCTTTTTGGTGCCTTGCCCCAGGAGAGCGGAGGCTCCCTGTGTGAATACTATTTCCTCAGCAGGTATTCAGCCTTCCCACATTCCGACTCCAGTCACAGAACCTTTCCAACTTGTTTGAGCTTCTGCACGTTGTGAAAAAGTTAGATTCTGCTGGAAGCAGCCTGACCTCTGGCCCCTGCTGGAATTCCACAGGCCTAGGCGTCTTCTCAGAAATCCCACTGCTTCCCCGATGACGACAGCACCATGGCAGCTGCCTGCCTCTGGCTGTAAACCCTGTTTGCGCTCTGCAATGGGGGAGGGTGGGCTGTCCTCCTCGACATACCAGTTCCTTTCCCCGAGGAACCAAGCGAGTGCCTGCTGGTCCTTTCAGCTCACTTTGTGGAGACCAGGGTGCACTAGCCTATGGGTGGGTGTGCTGGCACAGTGCCAGGTCTCCTCTCAAGTATGGTCTGACTCCTCTCTCTCTCTCTCTCTCTAAATCAAGTCTGCTTTAAAAGCAGTGACCGCAACAGAAGTGTTTGCCCCGAGGCAGAAGGGCCAGGAGTCCTGGGGTTCTCGGAGGATGTTTCAGAAGATCCAGATGAGCCTCTGGAAAAGGAGTCTGCGTTTACATTCCCACGTGATGGGATTTTTCCTCGTTCTGCTGAGCAGCATTCCTGGCTCAGTATCCCAGTTCCCTAGCGGGGCAAGGCCTGAGATGGCAGTGCCTGTGAACCACGGCTGGGGCAGGGAATGCACAGCGTGCCTGGTTCTCTTGCTTGTCCTTACAGTTCAGTACATCATCACAGGAGCACTGCTTGTGCCAGAACCGTTTGGAGCGTTTACATCGCGGCTGCTGTCCCCAGTCCGTTCTGGGACTGCGGACCATACGCCGCAGTGCTCCGCTTCAGTGTTGGGAATAGATGCTTCTGGGAACTGTCCAGCCAGAAGGCACTGCGGATTGCAGCAGAATTCAGACAGGCTGCAGGACTTGTGGCTTCCCATCCATGCTGGAAACCGTTTTCAACTGCACCAGCTCAGCCTCACCCACACAGGCAGGGTCCCCATCCTCTGCTGCGGAGACAAGAGCACAGCGAAGAAAAGCACCACCAGCAACTGCTGCTACAGGGGGAAGTGCTTGGTCCCTGTGTTACAGGCAGATTGTTCCTTCTTTCTCTGTCTGATGGTGCTTTCTGATCTGTCTGAGGTCTGGATTGCTGGGCAGCCTGCTGCTGCCTCTGCTGGATTGGGAGAGCTCCTGGCATGCAGAGTGACTGATGTTCACCTTGTGAGCGTTGTTGTTGTTGTTGTTTGTTTGCTGGGAGCTGGCGGTGGTCGTCGAGGGAGCGCTTTGCTGGTGTGGGGTTTGTTTGCTGAGAGCTGGCGGTGGTCGTCGAGGGAGCGCTTTGCTGGTGTGGGGAGTAGGGTGCAGCGTGGCTGCTCCTCTCACTCCTACAGCCCTGTCAACTAGGACTCCCATAATGTGATGGCACAGATACCCCACTGTGCCATACTGGGGTGAGCCCTTTCCAGCCTGTTTCCTGGGCTGGAGCAGATACCCCTGTTTATATGCTGAAAATCTTTTCAATTTATTCCACCCCTTCTCTGCAGGGAGTGGCCATTTTGGAATCTAAACTGTGCTGCCCAGTTCTGTGGGCGCCAGATCCTGGTGCCCTACCAGAGGAGACTGCTCACTGCCCCAGTTCAGAGTCTGATTGCTCCTTCAGCAGCTGCCGTTGCCGTGCACTGTAGAGATGGATGCAGATGTAAATGTGAATCTTGCATGCCCCTCTGGGCTATGACAAGGACCAATTCTGTACCCCTCCACTGGAAAGGCCAGGCGCTGAGAGAGCTGCAGCGACCTGGTCAAAGATCCTTTCCTTTGATCCAGTTCGTACCGCCTGCCCCTTGGCCTTGCCCATGGCGAAGTATCCAAAATGAATCCTTTTTTTATAGCACACCGATTCTCCCACTCCGGGCCCTGGACCTGCTGTGGGCTAGACCCACGTCTGTTCTCTTCAGCTGCATGGAAGCAAGTCATGTTCTGTAGCCCCCACAGTGCCGCTGCATGGGCCTCACTCCCCAGCTTGCACAAAGATGGGTGGAAAGCTGATGTGTGGCCTGGAGAGCGAACGCTACCTCACAAGCGAGTTACTTGCACCCTCTTTTCCCTTCTAGGTGCTTTCATTCCGCGGCCTCCCCCTCACTTGGACTGGGCCCGACCACAGCCTGCTCTCTTGTGAGGTGCAGGGGTTGCTTGTATGCTGTGTTGGACTGTCTATCCCTGCTTGTGCCACTGGAACCCTGACAGATGCTTGTGGTGGATGGGGGGAACTCTCCTTTGCTGCTGCTGCTCTTTCAGGAACAGCAAGCCAGCATGTTCATTGGAAAGCTAGTACAGCCCAGCTGGGTCTGAGGAACAGCATCTCCTTCCTCTGGCTGTCCCCTTAGCAAGTGGCCTAAGTTACATCAGTGTTCACATTGACTAGGAAATACAGTTCCAAGTGGTGAAACTGAAACCTTATCTGGAGAGTGCAGAGAAGAGGTGCCTGGACAGACCAGGCTGGGAGAATAGAGTGAAGAGACTTGGGTGGGGAGGGGGCAAGTGAGAGAACACAACCCAGGTGTATAAAATAATGAATTGGGTGGAGATGGTCAGTCAGCACTTCCTTGTCTCGAAGTGAGGGTGCATCCGGTGCAGTTCAAAGGCCGGGGATCTGAAAGCAAGAAAAGAGAATATCAGTTTGGACATTGTATAATTAACATGGTAAATTCATTGCTCCAAGGCATTTGAATCCAAGAGGCCAGAACTGCACATCCCGGGGCAGAGGGGGTAAATCTCTTCCCTCTAGATTCTGGTAACTCTCATGGTGGTTTTTGGCCCTAGATCTTTGCTGTGGCCAAGTGGTGAACTTAAAAGTAATGATAGAGATGGGACTTCGGAGGTAAATCGCCCTCCTCTGCTTCCACTGACACTCAGTCTAATTGGCCGCAGGGTTAAGGTCCCGCAGCCCAGCTGAAGACAAGGGGGGATCGTGGCTGTGCAGAATCAAGCCTGTGGTGTTGGAAATGAGCAGAGGGAAGTAACAATGTAGCTCTTCCTTCATCGCCCCTCGGGATCTCAGAGCTGAGCTGCCCTGTGTTTATTGCCCATGTGGTCCCCGAGCCTCAGTCTGAGCCTGGAAGTGGGTGGGTGAAGTGGAAATGTGCTCTGTTTTACTCTGCTTGTGGTGTGGGGGGATCCCCTGCCTGCAGCACACTGGTTTGACATCTCTTCTTTGCTCCCACAGTGCCTGGAGAAGTTTCCTGTGATCCAGCATTTTAAGTTTGGCAGCTTGCTTCCAATCCAGCCCGTCACATCTTAAGAGGCCCTGGGAGGAGTCGATGGAGCAGAGACGACAGTGCAGTGCTCTTCCTCCCCCCTCCTCACCTCTCCAGTCCCCAGCCCATTCATCCCCGCAGGTCTTTGTATGTACAACTAGAGAAAGTTACAAAGCACTTAACAACCTTGCATGGAAGAAGTGACCAAGAGCAGCTGCCCATGCAAGTTCTCCTCACCCTGACACTGGGAAGTGACAAAACCAGGGCTGTGCTTCTAGCCTCCAGTATGGTCTGTCCTCCGCTGTCTGTGGCTCGAAGGACTGCTGCGTAGTGAGCTGGGCAGGAGTATGATTTGAATGGGGCGTGGGAAGGGGATACCTCTAGTATGGCTTTACAAGAAGACCTCTGCTTTTATCCCCTGGTGTAACTGGATGGGAAGGGGAGGGGGAGGCGTGTGTGCATGGGGAGGGGGGCAGTTAGTTTTTTTTTCCCCTTTTGAATTTCACTGAAAGCTCTTTTGCGTGGGGAGGGGGGCAGTTAGTTTTTTTCCCTTTTGAATTTCACTGAAAGCTCTTTTTGCTGTCTTGTTTGGGGAGTCCAAGGCTCATCCTGGGGTGTGAACATGCCTGGGAGTCAGGTCCCCATTGTCTGTGCTGCTGCCTTGGCTTGCAAGGGGTGTTATTTAAAGGGTAGAGGAAGTGGTAGGAAATCTCTGTGGGTCACTTGAAGCCAGGGTGTCCTCTCTCCCCTCCCCCTCCCCTGCCCTTCCTGGAGACTTCCTTTCACACCACCTAGTCCTCTGCAGGGTGCCACCTGGGGCCTGGAGTGCTGCGCTGGCTTTGGAGCTGAGCACAGGGGAAGTCTTTGGCCACCAAGGGTTGCATCTGTGTGTGAATGGCTACGCAAAGACACTGCTCTAGCAGAGCCTAAGCCAGTTACTTCCTCCCCGCTGTAGCTAACGGGCTCAGAGCCCTCTCCTTCAACTCTTTGGGCTCACTGAGGCTGGGCACAGCCCTCTCCTCCACACTCACCTTTTCCTCTGTGGTGCTTAGCCACCCACAGGAGGGCAGCCTGGATGTCCTCAGTGTAATTTATTATGGTTGCTTGTGTGTGACTCTTAAGTTGTAGTGACAGCCCCATAATAAAGGGATTTTTCCCATTAAGTAGCACATCCCTACACACTGTAGACTTTACTATAGGGAATGTAGCATAGGGCGGGTATATTGGCTTTAAATCCATTATTTAACTGCTGGAGACATGAATACGTGCCCGTGTCCTGGGGCAACCTTTTGCGTTCTTAAAAAAAGGCTTTCACCTTCCTCATTCCCTGCCACAGCTGCCCCGCATTGGCAAACCGTACCATTATTTTTTACCAAAACCCTCTGTAAGCACCAGCCGCACTGTGTTTAGAAGACCTAATCAGCATGCTTAATTCATATACTGGTTCTAGACTCTCACTTCCAGTGGCTTAGACTAGGGGCACATCTGATTAAACGAGGGACTTCTTGGTGATTAGCAGTGCTAGAAAAGGAATGGCAGAAAATGGCTGGGATGGATTTGAGGGGAAATTTTACAGGTTTGCTTGGGTCTATTAGAGATTCTTTATAAGTTCCTAGCTTGAGAGGGCAAGTTTGCTCCTGGAGTGTTCATAAACATTGATTTGGTGGCAGTTTGCCCCCGGCATGCCACTGCCACTGTATCTACCTGTGCCTCGCAGGTTCGGGAGTTCACAGCTCTGGTTGGCCGTGAATCGTTGTCCTGGTCAATGAGTGGTATGGATTGGGATGCTGTTTCCTGCAGCTTCTAAGGGCCAGGAAGGGCGATTCATAGCCAATGAGAGCTGTGCTCCTCTGTAACTGCAGAGGTGCAGGTAAATATAGTGGTGGGGCCTGCCAGGGCCTAACCCTGGTGGACCGAATCTGGCCCACAGGCTGGTATTTGCCCACCCTAGGTTTGGAGCGTGGCAGGGTTAGCAAAGACATTTTTTGGTTTGGCTTTCTTCGTGAGTACAATGCTAATTTTTCTCCTGCTGCTGTCAGCTGCAGCTAGCCTGCCTAATCTTTTCCTGTCCAAGCCCTTTGCTTACTATTAAATTATTGGAAAAAGTTTATTTTGCTCATGGAATTGGGTTTTTCATAATTTTCTCTTTGCTCGCATCTCCTGGAACAAGCCTCTTCCTTCTCCAAAGCTTGTGCCCTGCATTTAAATTAAGATGCTACCTGCTTCTGAGGCTAAAAAGAAAAACCTATGCCAAGCTGCAATGGTTCCCTCTTTCCCATTGCTTTGGGCCTGCGCTTGTGTACCGTGTAGGTCAATTGCAGGTGCACTGAATCTCCTGGGCTTTTTAAAATAATGGCTTTATCAACTTACGTTTTAAAGAAAATGTGAGCAAAAAGCCCCAGATCCATCCCTGTTTTACTCCCAGATCATCAGGAGTAAAATTACAAATCAATCCACTGGGAAAGTGACTTTGGAAGACTTTAACCTGTTGGGACCCCTAAGTGTTTTCTGTTTTGGTGCTGTACTTAAAAGGATGCAGTTCAGGGACCAGAGCCCACTGTTATAGAGCGAGGAAGCCTGGTTCTCATCTTGCCCTTACCGCCTTGTTGCAGGACCTTGGGCAAGTCCTCCCGTGCAGTAAAGCAGGTCTAATAATAGCTTCCTCGCAGACTGGCCATGACCTAGACTGAGATTTGCAAAGTGTTGTAGGAGATTTGGACACCACAATCTCTGTAATTTTAATGGAAATTAGGCTTCCGGCTCAAACTAAATGAAAATCTAGGCCTCCACAGCCTTTTGCAGAAGGTGCAATTAGAGTGCAAAGTAGAGCACCAAAGAGGCCTCCACAGCTTTCTCAGATCTTTTGCAGAAGGTGCAATTAGAGTGCAAAGTAGAGCACCAAAAGGGTACATTCCTTCCATTGCATTCGGTTTTAGTGATGCCAGCAGCTAAGTCTGGATGCAGGACAAAAGGAGGTGCTATTTATTTATGGACCATCTAAGTCTGCACGCTCATTCTGTTAAGAATTTGGAAGTTTAAGCTGCTTGAATTTGTGTGAATTCTACTGGTCTAACTTTAATTTGCCCTCAATAATCTGGTAGTAGGCTGCTTCCGTTCCTTCATCATTACTGTGATTCCCATCAGATCTCAAGGGATGGCCTGTTTGGGTTTTGTCCCTTTCCCTGAATGGTTCCACATGCATGCCTCACTACCCGAAACACCACCTGGCTTCTCCCGGGGCTGTAAAAGCAACACCTGAGCATCCCTCACCCCCATGTTCTCCCATATTGTGGTTTTAATTAAAAGTCGATGTGTTTTGCACCTGGTGCTTGTGTTCGACTGTGTTGGAATGGGGCTAGCTTTGGCCAACAAACTCCTTGGTGGCTTTGCTTCCAAAGCCAATGGCTGCAATGCTGGCTCTAGCCTCCCAGGCTGCCACCTTTAGTAGACTGAACAGGCTCTTCTGGGGTGTTTTCTCCTGGTCATTGCTCTGTCACACCAAAAATGAACAGCCCTTGTGCATAAGGGCACACTTGCCTCATCCAGTTCAACAGTCAGCCCTCAGTGGAATCTTTGTGTACATTTACTACAACACGTATGTAAGCAGCAAGGCCTAGAGGCCCACTCACCTGCAGGCAAATACCTCCTGGAGATTCTAAAACTCCCATGAACTGAGCCTGTTTTGGTGGTAAGGTTCTTTCTGAGGCTGGCTAAGAGCTGAAATGAAGACATCTCACCTGTGAGGCTGTCCTGCTGGGGAGTTCTAAGGCATGGCTTTATGGGAGGTTCAGGACAACAGCTGTGTCTAGCTCCAACCCAAACTAGTGCCTGGATCTTGTCTACAAGATAAACTGAACCTAAGAATGGCCATACTCCGTCAGGCCAGAGGTCCATCCAGCCCAGTGTCCTGTCTATCAGGCCAGAGGTCCATCCAGCCCAGTATCCTGTCTGCCAACAGTGGCCAATGCCAGATGTCCCAGAGGGAGTGAACTGAACAGGTAATGATCAAGCGATCTCTCTCTCCTGCCATCCATCTCCACTCTCTGACAGAGGCTATGGACACCGTTCCATACCCATACTGGCTAATAGCCATTAATGGACTTAACCTCCATGAATTTACCTAGTTCTCTCTTAAACCCTGTTATAGTTCTAGCCTTCACAGCTTCCTCAGGCAAGGAGTTCCACAGGTTGATTGTGCGCTTTGTGAAGAAGAACTTCCTTTTATTTGTTTTAAACCTGCTGCCCGTTAATTTCATTTGGTGGCTCCTAGTTCTTATATTATGGGAACAAGTCAATAACTTTTCCTTATTCCCTTTCTCCAATGAATAAGCTTGCAGAAGGTCTAAATAAATCTGAGTGGTACTGTCAATAGGTTATATCCTTTCCTTCTGTATAGCCTGCCTGGCCTGGGTTGTTATGCTGCTATGGGTGCTAGTGGATCATGGAAAAGGATATGGCAACTGACCATCAACTCTCTTGTGTATATCCCATTTTTCTTTAATGGTACAAAGTACATGACCAAAATTCATTTAAAAAAAAAAGTTGTCAGAAACCTGAGAATCCATTTATCCAGGATTGGGGAATGTTTACATCAGTTGCATTTAAACAGACTATTAATAAAGATCAGAAGAGGGTAATTTCCACAAGCTTTCAACTATTGATTGTAGTTGTACTCAAAATCCCTAATCCAGGACTGGGACTCTTTCGGTTATGTACAAACACACGGGTAGACATGGTCTCTGCTCTGCACAGTAGGTAGCCCTGACTCAGCAATGTGCTTAAGTCCTTGTGTAAGGATGCACTTAAGCAAGTACTTTAGTGTTTTGCTGAATTTAGTTCCTCTCCTTATAGGCCCAGAAGAGGCCTTTGATTAGTTGACATCTTTCTAGGACTATGTCTACACTACAAAGATAAATCGGAAAAAGAAACACAATTTTCAGTACACAAAGTGAGTATCTTTTTCCGATTTACTTCCAAAAAAGGCTGTGAGTATCTTTTTCTGATTTACTTCCAAAAAAGGCTTTTCTGGAATTTGGCCCATCCACGTGGGGCCAAATTTTGGGAAAAACCCTCTTTCAGAATATCCCTTCTTCCTCATAAAACGAGGTTTACAGGGATGCTGAAAAAACGCGTCCGCTTTTCTGACTTTGCTTTTCAAAAAAAAAAAAGACACGTTCCTTGGACATGGCAGAGCTTTTCTGGGATCCCTCTAGTCTCCTGGAAAAGTTCTGCTGTCTAGACATAGCCTAGGATACCTAGGAAAACTTTAGTGCTCCTGCCAAAATTCAAGGTATCTAATTAGGACAAAAGGTAAGTTCAGTATTTTAATATGCAAATGATCCCTGAAATCAGCGGTAGCTATAGCAGCTGCCCCCTTTGAAAATTTGGCAAGTGATAAGGCTACAACTTTGGGCTCCAATCCTGCGAATGTTTGCATATCAATGGGCCTAGTCACATGGAAAAAGATAAGACTCTGCATAAGCGACTGTAGGGGCCTCAATAGATCTACACTGCAGCCTAATAAAAATAAGTCTCTGAGCCTGGGTCAATTGACTTAGGCTCACAGGCTGCAGGCCTAAGAATTGCAGTGTAATTTCCCCCCTTGTGGGGTTTCAGAGGCTCCAGCCTGGAATGTCTGCACTGCAATTTTAAGCCTGATCGACGAGGCCTGCACAACTTGGAAAGCGGTGAGGGCCATATTACTTCAAAGAAAACAGCTGTGGGCCGCAAGTAGGGTTGCCCGATGCTCTCCCAAAAAATACCGAACATGTGGGCTAAAAATTTTTGTCGAGCAAAAAAAACCCCCCACCACCCACCTTCAGCGTGCAACCACAGGAGGCACCACCAGGCTTCCGGCCGCTGTCCAGCCAGAAATTCACTGCACGTGTCCAATATTTTCTGAATTTTTTTGCTGGGCAGAGAGCACAAGTACCAGACTGTCTGGTAGAAAACTGGACACCTGGGAACCCTAGCCGCAAGGGTAGGTTTGGGGGGGCGGGTGATACTTTATTAAGAATTTTTCAATTAAAGCAGGCCTGTACAACATACGGTTCCCAATGCCCTTTACCCTCTCCACGTCACACCAGTGTCCTGGCGTCTGCCGGCGTCCTGCCCTCTGGCTCGCGCCCCAGCTCCTTGCACCAGAGCTGTACTCAGGCAGCTCGGTGGCGAGAATCGCCGCACTTCCCCCTCCCCGGCGGCACTCCGCTTCTCTGCCTGGCCAGGGGCTCGGATGGGGTCGCACCACCCGTAGTCACAGTTCGCACAGTGAGCCCCTGAAGGCCGCAAGTTGTGCAGGCCGCTGTAGACCAAGCTCTATGATCTGGAGTCAGCTGTACCTGGGCTAGCTGCAGTGTAGATGCATTAAGCAGGCCCACTGACCAGAGGGCGGGGGGAGGGAAAGGGAGCAGTTGCCCCCAGAACCTGGTGATTCAAAGGGACCTGGGACTCCTGGCTGCTGCTGTGGCAGTGGCTGGAGCCTCAGGCTCTTTAAATGTCTGCTAGAGCACCATACCATGCACTCTGGGCAGCGCAGAGGGCTGGGTGGGGGGTGCTGTACTCTGGGTGGCACCGAGGGCTATTTGGGGGATGGTGCAATGCACTCCGGGTGGTTCTTAGGGCTGGCTGCCCCAGATCCTGCCCCTTCTGCCCAAGGCTCCCCTCCTGGGGTGCGTAGCCAGCCAGCCTTCCTACATCTTGTCCAGGGACCTGGGGAGGCTGTGCCCCTGGTATTAAGGTCCTGATCCTGCAATCACAATGAGGATGAAGTAAAATCATAGCTCTCAACTGTCTCTGGCAGTGGCCCATACCAGTAATATTCCACTCAGTGGTAATAATGCTCCAGGAAGAGTGGGGGCCAACTACTGCTACTGCAAACAGATGAAGCTTTTCAGTTCCCAAGAGTCAATGGACCTGTAATGTCAAAGAACTTTATAGATTCTCCATTGTGCAGATTAAAGAAAAAGTCCGACAAGGTTTAAGACATTAGAATATATTCCTCAGATTGACACTGCTCGGGTCTAAGACACTGAAAGGCGTGTGCTGATGAGTTTCTTTCTTTTATTTCAAGTACATTCAGACAGCATAAATCTTTGTTTTTAAAATCAGTTCATGAATTACACAGCTTCTTTGCAAAAACACACTCTGATAGGCTAGAACTAAACTTACTAAAAGCCTGTAACACAGATCACCAGCTCTCTTAGCTAGGTTGCAGCAGGAACCTCTCGCACCCGAGTTTATTCCTTTCCAAATAACAGTAAAGGATTTGACTGTATCTTGCTGATCCATCCACATTTTAATTTCCTTTGAAAAGATACATATTACAGGATGCTGGAAATCCCCAACCCACTGGAGCTGCCAGACTGGCTGTTTTGGCCTGTAAACGTTAATGCATACTAATAGCAAAGCAAAAAGGATTAGGAAGAAATCTTGGAAGCACCAACTTTTATAATGATCAGGACATCGATGATATAGAAGAGTTTGGGAGCAAACTGTCAAGTCTTTCACTTTGTGACAGGAAAATAAACCCCTTTACAAACCCGAGTCGCGCGCGCGTGTGTGTGTGTATGTGTGTGTGTCATTTCCTGGAGACCAGCAATTTACTGGTGTGGGGCATTTCCTGGAGACAGGACCAGCAATTTACTGGTCCTATTGGGGCAGGCGCCCACATCTGAAGGCCCCACCCCCAGCCTACAGGGTGGATCTAAAGAGCCCTAGACTCCAACTTATTCTGCGGGGACAAATAAAAAGGAAAACAGGGACAGGTGCGATGGTCAAAGGGCTAAAATGAGGGAACCGGATGAGGACACTGAGCGGAGAACCCCGGACAGCGCCCACTGCCCCTCGAAGGTCTCAAGAGAGAGAGAGCCAGCGGACACTGCCCAGTGGAACTCTACCTGGAGGTGTGAGCGGATGCAGGAGTGGAAATAGGCCCCACAGTCGCAGGACCCTCGCTCAGCCAACCTCTGCTCCCTGTACAATGTATTGGTACAGGGAAGGAAACATTGTCCTATGGCCAGGATTCAAAAGACCCAAGTTGGAGTCCCTGCTCTACCCAGGACTTTCTGTGTGACCTCAAGCTCTCTCTGCTTGTTCTGGGTACACGAGTGAGCCTCCCAGCTCAGAAGACAGATGTGCAGTGGTGGGGTTCATGCTGGCATGTTAAAAATAGCCATGTGAGATATTGGGGCACTGGTAGAGGCTCAAGCTCCCCCCCCCCCCAGCTGGGACCCAGGGAGCAGAGTTATGGCCTTCCCTGAGGAAGCCGCATCCACGCAGTTATTTTCAGTGTACTAGTGAGAGCCTGGCTAGCACAGCTCTGTCTGCT